TCTTCCGTAGAGCACATTTCTGTCTCTCTGTCACTGCAGAGCGTACGCCGAGGTCCAATAAGCCCCCTTTTCCGTCGAAGGGCTGCTGTTGTCTTTAGGAGGAGTCTCGGGTTCCGTGGCGTAAATGGCAGTATTGAACGAGGCGCGTCCCTTTTGCGAAAGTCGCGTGAGACCCTCCCTTGCCGTCCGCAGACAGCGTGCCCGAGGAGCTCCGGGAGCCTTTCTACACGGACCAGTATGAGCAGGAGCATCTCAAGCCGCCGGTCGTGCGCCTGCTGCTGTCGGCCGAGCTGTACTGCCGCGCGGGGAGCCTCATCCTCAAGAGCGACGCCGCCAAGCCCCTGCTGGGCCACGACGCCGTCATCCAGGCCCTGGCGCAGAAGGGCCTCTACGTCACCGACCAGGAGAGGCTGGTGACCGAGCGCGACCTGCACAAGAAGCCCATCCAGATGGTGAGTCCGCGCGGCCGGGGCCGGTGGCAGGCGGAGCGGGAAGCGTGGCCTCGTGGGGCAGGGGCATCTCTGCCTGCGGCTCAGAACCCCTCTTCTTCTTAGACACCCCGTTTCCAATTTAGGGAAGAGTCGAGTAAACTATTTTGGAATGTTTGGTGCCACTGTGATGCCCGGGAGAAAGTTACGTAACTTCCAGCTCCGTTAAGTGATTCTTCTTCAATTTAAAGCCTTACTGTTTTGTTTTGTCCTCCAGAAGGCTATTCCTGTGCGTTGTGTTATTTCGTCTCGTATGTCGTGCATTCGGCTCAGCGCTGACACCTCTACGCGAACGGTGTTGAGCTTAGAACCTGGTGAAGGAGGCGGTGGGAGAAACGAGGAGACAGCGTGACATGAGCGCTCTACGTCCACGTGGGCGCTGGGGATGCGGGTGGACGCGGCGCTGTCTGCCGGAGGGTCGCGGAAGGCGACACGGGACAGATCAGTGGGTGCCAAAGGGCGGGGTGCGGAAGGCAGCGGGGCGAAGGAGCGCGTGGCCAGGCGCGAAGCGTGGCATGTGCTGCGGGTTGTGAGTTCCGTGCGCACCGTGTGGAGCGCGGGTGTGAGAAGAGCCTGGAAAACAGTTCGGCCTAGACGGTGCGGAGGCCGCGAGCCGACGTGCAGCCTTTCAGACGTTCTGGGGTTTCGCGATTGTGAACAGTTTTCACCGTTTCCTCTGGTTTTGTCGCCGTCGTCGGTAGTGGTGGTGGTTTGATGACTCGGTCCTCCCTGCCTACATTAAGTAAATAAAACAGTAGGGAGCACGTGAAACGCCGTGTGAGCTGCCGCACCGGGGGCTGGGTGCGGATGGCTGCCGCGTGCCAGCCCCCGGCCCCTTCTGACCGGCCACGTCCCCGTCAGGCCGCCCGGGCCCTTATTTGGCTCGCCATGCGCCAGGCACTGCGCCCACCCCTCGCATACTCCGCCTCACAATTAATTCTTGCAACAGCCCCAACGGGCAAGCGTCCCCCCCTGTTCCACCGCTGTGGAAACGGAGGCTTCGAGAATGTGATGAAGGTCGTAGAGCCGGCCCAGTGGCGGTGACGGCAGGATTCAGGCTTTAACTATAAATCCCGCATCTTAACCATGACCTGCAGTTTTGATTTCCGCCTGGGCCGCAGGAGGGCGGCAGGGAGGAGGTGGCAGGGGAGTGGGCAGGGAGGAGGGGGAGGGAGGTGCAACGCCGCCCGGCGGGTTGGAGTCTCGGTGATTCGCCCGAGCCCCCTTCCCCTCACCCGCTCCGTTCCCGTGTGGAAGGGCCTGCCGCTCCGGCGTCCTGGGAGCAGCCGAGCCTTTGGGCTCGTGACTTGATGGAGGGCGAAGCGGAGCGGTGGCAGGTGTTCCGGGTGGATGCGAGCGGCCTGATGTTTAAGGAACGGGGAGGTGATGCCCCGGTCACTGTCCTGCCGGAAGCGTGGAGCCAGCCTCGGGAGCCGCGCTGGTCCTTCGGCCGCCACCTCCCCGCCTCCCTCCTTGCCAGCGTGTCTGCCCCGTTGGCAGCTCTTCCGTGGATGCCCATGGCACCACCATCTGTTGGAACGCGTGTAATTTTGTCATGTAGAAGCTTAAACAAATCTTTTACTTGTTCAAGAAGATTAAAAATTGCACTTTGGAGCAGAAGGATTCTATGAACGTAACGTTACATTAGCAGTCGAGTAGTTTCTAGTCCCCCTTGTGTAATGATGCCTTGCGAATTTATGAGCAGAACTGTCTGTGAAAAATTATTTTAAAATTCCACGGCTGTTGTTAACAGGGTTTTTTCCTTCGCGTGTGATACTGGATCTCAGTTTTTCATTTCCCATCAATCACGTCCCTAATTTGGATCTCGTTAGTTCCAGGTAACATATCACACACACATCAGAGTATCTTGATATCTTACAACCGCGTTTATCATGTTGGAGTCAGTGTTTACTTGTAATAATTTATTCAGAGCTCCAAGTTTACTTTTTTATAGAAATAACTTGATGAACAGTGCTTATTTTACCAGATGATCTCAAAAACCTTTTTATGTTTGTAATAATACTGAAGTCAGTCAGGCCATTTATTAACTTATTCAGTTAATTTACGGAGCTCTTGCTGTGTGCTGCGTAGTATCTGCTGTGATCACAAGGAGCTTCTGTCCTGCCGGGGACGCAGCGAGGAGCAGGCCGAGCCCTTCCTTCCACCGGGCTCGTATTTCGGTAGCAAAGACAAGTAGTAAAGAGCTCAACAAATTGTAATAATTTCCGACGGTAGCAGATGCACTGAAGAAACTAAATCAAGAAGGAGGAGCCAGAGGGAGTGGTCACAGGACGTGGTCAGGGAAGGCCTGTCTGGTTTTTTTGTCTATGTGATAAAACTTCTTCAGAAAAACCCGCGGCTTCCTGGGAGAGACGAGGCGGGGCATCTCGTGGGACCGTCTGAAAGGAAGCAGAGTATCGCTTCTTTCAGTGCTGTATTTCTGTTTCATTTTGAGATATAATCGACATATAACACTGTATTAGTTTCAGGCGGACAACATGATGACTCGATAAATGTGTTTAGTGACAAAGATCAGCACAGTAAGTTCTGTCTTGTCTCCGTTATTAAGCCTTTGGTGTCTCTCTGATAAATGAGGCTAGAAAGGTACACTGTACCGAACAGCTTTATCTGTTAAAGTTTTTTTTGTCTTCTAGACGTCGTTTTTCAGTAAAGGTGAATTCTAGATCTCAGCGGATGTTTGTATTCTGGAGCCGGGGTGAAACTCCTCACACGGCTCGTGGCTCGTAGGAGGGAGCTGGCCCGCCCAGGCAGGGCTCAGAGAAAGTGCGCTTCTCAGCAGAAGCAGCTCCACAAAGACACGGCCTCTCCTCCTGTTTGCACGGCCCAGGGCCTGGCCCAGAGGACAGGCTGGCGGGGTAAGAGACCGCAGTGAACGTCCCGTTAGATTGAAATGTAGTTTGAAAGAAGCCATTCAGAAACACTGCCAAGGAATAATTAATTCCCCGTACAGATGTGTGTAAAGTGAGCTGTAATTATTCATGAAATACCTGTTTATTGAGCTTCCAGTATTTGGTGTTTGCGGGAGGCTCCTGAACTCATGGCGTTTACCAAGAGAATCTGAGCGATTAGATTGTCAGTGTCCTGCTTTATCATGTTAACTAAGTGTCCAGGCAGGTGTGGGCTTTGGCTTCAGTAAGCACGTGCGGTTTCCAGCCTCCCTCTCTGCCTCTGCTTTCTGTGTCCAGCGGTGTCGTCTAAAATTTAACAATTAATAGACGCATAGCAAAGCACTACGTTATATATTTTAAATGTCTTCTCATTGTATATGGCTTTCAATAAAGCTGAAATTCAAAAAATAAATAAAATTTCGCGATTAATGCTGCATTTCTGTCAGTTTGTTTTAATGAAGCGAAGCATGCTTGAGATGTAAATCTGTTAATACCAAGGATATAGTTTAGAAACTAGGTCCAGTTACAATAGATTTTAAGTGGTTGTTCAAATTTGTTCATTACGCAGAAGTATTGTAGCGACCCAGACACATTTTGATTATAAACGTGAGTTCAGAGTGTCACCGCACTTGGCCAGAGCCATTGCTTGGAGCAGCAGATAAAATGTGTAGAGGGGCTGGTGGCCCGCGGGGCCAGCCAGGGCCGCGGCTTCTGGAATCCGACGGACCGTGGCCGGAGCTGGCTTGTCAGCCGGTCGCGAGGTTCAGTGGGGTTCCAGGTGGAGTTAGGGAGCAGGACCCCGCTCCGGTGGCGGGAAGGCCGCACTGTGCCTGCCGGGCCCTCGTCGCTGGGTCGCTGGCCGTGTGGGACCGGAGGGTTTTGAGCACAGCGGTGTGGTGACCGGGGTTCCGTTGGTGGAGATGGAGGTAGTGACACGTGTGACCTGGACTGGGGGGCCGAGGGCCATCGCCGTAGGGGTGCCGCGGGAGGGGGTACAGGACAGACTCGGTCTGGGCCGGGTGTGGCCGGAGGTGGCTCAGGACACCGGGCAGAGCCCGGCGAGGGGAGTCTGGGAGGCGGGCGGAGGCTGTGGCGCTGAGGGCCAGGACGGGCATGGCGCGGGGCAAAGTCAGCCACCGAGCGAAGGCCTGACGGTGTAGTGTAGGGAGGAACATTTTTGAGAAGTGTGTCAGCGGGCCGGTGTTGGGGCAAGGACAGTCATGCCCCTCGGCCGCCCGGCCCCGTTCTGAGCCCGCTGCCCAGGCTCCTCTGGAGGAGGCGTCTCGTGACCCGCCTCCCAGCTCCACAGCCCCTGGCTCTTCCCACAGCTGTCACTCGCTGGGCTCCGGCCAGTGTCCGCGTGCGAGGCCGTGAGGCCGGCTCCGGTCCCGTTTGGGGTCCCGGACCCCCGTGAGCCTGCCAGTCTGGCCCTGCTCAGCAGCAGGCGTCCGTCCAGGAGGTCGTGAGTCACCTCTCACTGTGCTGTGCGCTCCCTGTGGAGCTCCCGTTGGTCGTGGTTTCTACACACCTGGGCGCAGCCTCCCAAGTTCCCAGGGGCATGGCAGGACCCCCTCTCTCTCTCTCTCTCGTGGACGGGGCTTGGGAGACGGCCCGGGGGGTGCTGGAGGCAGCTCGGGGGACAGCGCGCTGTGGCGTGACCCCGTGTGCTTCAGCCCCCTCCTTCTGGAGGAGCTGGTACTTGTCATACACACCCAGCCGGGAGAAAGGCGCACACACCTCCTTTCAGGCGATGTCGTGAGTGTTAAGTGGAGCTTTTACGGATGGTCGTTTTTACGTGATGCAGCATAGTTCAGTGTACTTGATGGAACCTGTAGATGTTGAGATTAAGCACAGTTTTTGGCTCAGCCTCACATGCGCCCGGAAAGCCATGAAACGCAGGCATGCTTGAGACGCACCACATGTGACTGGGGAGACGAGGTAGCAACGCCGTAGGGGTCAGCAAGGGACGGAACGTGGCTGGCGTAAAGGAGCAGCAGTTATGTTGAGTGGTGGGCACAAGCCTGCGCGGCCGTACAGAAGTAGCCCAGAAAGAGATGGGGCCCAGGGCAGGGCGGGTCGGACGTCCGGGGGCGCTTGCGTGCTCTGGCCTTAAGTGCTGCTTGCCGCATGTGACCCCCGTGTGGGTGGGGTCACACCAGCTCCGCGAAGCCGCGTGTTTCATCATCTGTGAGTGGTGGCAGCTCTGTCATCGGTGGGCCTGGCGCATGGCACTGAACTCTCCTCATTTAATCCTTGAAGGAGTCACTGATAAAACGTTTGGGAAAACGTGACAACGAGTGATTGCCTTTGGGTAACAGGCTGACCTCTAGGCCGCACTGACCCCGAGCTTACGCGTCGACTGCGTGGCTCCCGAACCAGTGAACGTGCCGGGCCCGTCACGCCCCTCGGAGCTTTCCCGAGCCCTGCGACCTGCACACCCTCGTGCCTCGCCAGGCGAGGAGTCTCGTCCGCATTTTACGGGGGGGAAGGTGAAGCTTAGTGAAATCTGAGCGACTCCCCGAGGCCACAGCTTTCTTTTTAAAAACCGGCTTCGTTGAGGCGTAACTTGAATATGTCCACGTAAAGTGAAGAGTTTGTGTTTTGACCAACGCACACGTGCGTGTCACTGCTGCTCCGGTTAAGGTATGAAACGCGTCCGTCACCCCGATTTTCCCTGTGCCCCCTGCTCCCCACGCCGCCCAGCCCACTGACCTCCTTCCTGTCGCTGGAGTCCAGACTTCGTGGAGGTGGAAGCGTGTCGCAGGGACCCCTTTGAATTGGATTCTTTCGCTGATGTTTTTGAGCTGCACTGCGTTGCTTTGTGAGGCTTGTTCCTTTTCGTTGCTTAGTTCCGTTCCACTGTGTGGATGCCGCGGTTCGTTCTTGTCCCGTCGGGCACCTTGATGTTTCCAGGGTCTGGCCGGTTGTGATCAAGCATCCGTGAGCATCCATGAGCATTCGTGTACATTTTTGTGGACGCGCATTTTCGTTTCTTTTGGACGCACACGCAGGAGCTGTTGGGCGGGCCGTGCAGGCGTGACTTGCGCATCTGGCAAGCACGTCCCCGAGGGTCGCACTACGATTCTGCCACCAGCAGTGCGTGCGTCACAGTCACTCTGCATCCTCCCAACACACATGGCCTTGTGTCTCCTCATGGGTTTAATTTGCATCCCCTGGTAGCTAACGCAATTTAGTGTTTTCTCATGTGCTCCGTGGTCACTCGCGTGTCCTCTCTTGTGAGGGGTCTGTAGCAGAGGGAGGAGAAGCAGAAGGGACAGTGTGGCAGACAGAAAGCAAGCATGAATTAGACAACATCCGGCAGTGTCGACCACCGTGAAGAAAATAAAACCACCCGATTTGATAAAGAATCATTGGACCGGGGGGCCAGTCTCTAGGGACATCTCCCTGGGGACATGCTGTTTTGACTGAGGCCAGAAGAAATAGAAACGGACAGGCAGAGATGTCAGGGCAGAGCCGTGAGTCACAGGAGCCTCTGTCCTTCCTTCAGCCCTCGCTAGTGGCCAGATGCCGTGTCAGGTGGAGGATAACTAAGATGCTCTCGCCCTCGGGAGCCTAGCGTCTAACTGGCCCCGTGCCCCGTGCCCCGTGCCCTGTGCGGGCGGCCGTGCCACACGGCCTAAGTCGGTGGGTCTCAACCTGGCTGCTCATTCGCATCATCCGGGAGCTTTAAAAAATGCCACCCACGTCCGACTTCAGGCCGTTAAGTCAGAATTCAAGGAAGTACTTAGAAGTCCCGCAGCCAACCATACTACAAGTAACGTCGAAAATCTAAGACGAGCTGGGAAAAACAGTTTGCCACCTGAATGGCATAGAGCTGGTGCAGCTAACATGGAACCAGCTCCTAGAAATCAAGAATCAGGCTGAGCGTCCCAAAGAGAAAAACAGGCAACAGGCACGAGAAGACAGTTTTCCAGGGAAAAAATGCGCATCGTCGCTAACTCTATAAAAAGACAGTCATGCACATCAGTCAGAGAGATGCGAGCTGTGGCCTGGAAACTGACACAGGCAAGCAGAGCGCGTGACGTCTGACGCTGGCAGAAACGCTGTGGGCAGGTGGGCCAGGGATGACACGCGGCGGGAGGGAGGCGAGAGGCGCGTCCGCTTCTCTGGAGAGGGAGCCGACCCTGGTTATCCGTCCCAAGTCCAGCGTGGCTGCCCTGGGGCCCGAGCGTGGAAGACGGTGTCAACGGCTACCTGCCTGGCACGCGTTAAACTTTCTAGAAAGGATCCATCCCGGACTCGTAGGCCTGCGCGGGGAGGAGGGCTGGGAAAGGGTCCGGCCTTCTCGATATACTGTGTGGCGTTGGACATCTGAGGGACCCCATGTGTAACACGTTTGTGTTCAGAAACCTAAAACAACAGCACAGGCAACGGGAAGATGGGAAGATGGGAGCCCTGCGCCGGACGGGCAGGGCGAGGTGGGAGCGGGAGCCGCCAGCGTCAGCGGGGACTGTGGGCCTGTCCAGGCGGCGCCGTGGGGCAGGGGGGGAGG